AAGAGCGGGATTGGGGCACCTGGATCGAGTCAAATCAAGCAAAGCTGCGTGGCAGGGGCTCGGGGCGCTACATGGTCACCACACTGCATGCAGTGACCCCATCCCGGCACCGCCTGAGCGCCGTTGGACCAGCTTAGCTTCAGAGATGGCCGTGGGCAGCAGGTTCTTTGTGAGGAGGGGCAGAGAGGCCAGCGCCACCCAGCATCGCGCTGTCATTTAGACAACGCCTGGAAACAACAGCTCGGTCACCCAGGAGCTGGCAGCTGGGTCAAGAAGCATCCTTGGGAAGGAACTTGAGGGCCATGGTGCTCATTAGCAAGATGCCAGCGAGCTAACGAGGCTGCTGCCCCGCATCACTGCTTCTCCCCTGCAGCAGGGTCTTAGGAAGATGCTCCTTCAGCTGAAGGGGCAGAATCGGAGCCAGCAGATCCTTACGGAGCCGACTGCTTTTCTCCGCTCACATGAGACACACTGGGGGCTGGAAGTGTGGTGGAGGGGGACACACAGCATTCACCGGGGCCCCAGGACAGCAGGCTGCACAGACAGGTTGCAGCACAACCCGCTTGGCCCATGTTAGTCTTCAGAGGGAAAAGGAGCAGCAAAGAAGGGCTGCAGCAGCCATGCGCGGAGTTATCCGTCCAGAAAGTCACGGTTAAAGGAAGCTCACCCATGCCCTGCTCTCCTCCAGCACCCTGCATCTCCAAAGCCAGCCAGAAACCTCTCACGGGGCAGGGAGGTCCCTTCTGGGGGACACCACAGCCCTGACAGCCTGAGACAGGGGTGCTGGTTTTGCACAGGAAAATGAAACCTCTTACATAAAATTAAAAATATCTAATAAAGGCAGTTTTGTCACAGCTGATTTCAAAACGCTGCTTTGCTTCTGCTGCAACGCTGGCCTTGCAGGGTGTGAACTCCGTCCCGGGAGGTGAATCGGGTGGATTCTTAACGTCTACATTAAAGGGAAAATAAAATGTTTAAAAGCTATTTCAGCCCCAGCCTGCATCACCAAAATGAACACCACTTCTTTTGCCTAAACCCTGCTGGTTCTGTTGAGACAAACCAATCTTTGTCCAAAATACAGCGTTTTACCCCAAAATGCATTTGCTGAAAACAGGGAACTGTCCCAACCTTCTTCACCTCTTGCTCTGTGTACAAACGGTAAGGAAGCCACCAGCAAGTGAACCTGGGGGGGGTAGGACGAAAACTCGGCTACAGCCGAGGTTTGCTCAGCACAAAGTGACCCAGCCTGGAGCATCCATGGATCCCACAGGAGCTGTGCACACCTCCGAAAACCAGAGGGATCTGCCCCCAGTGCCCCTTGGCTTTCCCCAGGCTGCACCCAGCACCCCTGGTTCAGTTGCTCGCTGGGTGTAGGGTTTGGAGATGTGGTTTGTCCTCTCCAGGCGCACATTCAGGCTTTGGGGAGGTGTTAAACCTCCTCTGCAAGCATCTCTGGGCATGGGGTGAGATAGAAAATGAGAGGGAGCGTGTTAGAGCCCATGAGCCATCCACATGGAATTCAGGCAGAATTTCCCCAAATTTTCAGGTGGCACCAGCCAAGACAACTCAGTCCCAAGGCTGCATCCAGGTTTTAGCTGCACGGGACAGTGTGTGGGTGCATTTCCTCTGGAGTAAAACAGAGAGGTCTCCTACTCCCATGATGTGCAAAGGTTATGCACAGGGACTGCATGTGGAGGAAGGAGAATGAGTTTCTCTAAAATGAGAAACTGTAAAGGCCAGACACAGCTGACAAGTTGGTTTTAGAAGTGGTAAAAATAGAAGTAAAAACCACAAAACCAAGTGTAGGGACCCAAATTGAGCACAGCAACGTGCTGGAGGTTGTGGCTTCAAGAGACGTCTTTTGACACAGGAGAGCAGGGTCCAAGGAAAACAAAACTTCCCAGATTAATCCCTGCAAAAGGTCCCAAATTAAAGAAAGCAGAATTAATTCAGCTGTTTCTCAGGAAGTCAATGAAGGTGGATCAGTTTTTCAACCGATACCCTGTGTGCTTTACCCCAAAGAGGAAATGTACAGTGTAAGGCTCACATTCATTTTGGACAGCCTCTGATCCCCGCCTGCCAGCTTCGTGGCACAGGCAATTCTGCAGCTTTTCCTTTGTAACCTGGTCCAGAGCTCCGTTACCAACACAGGTTGTGACACATGGAGCAGTCACAGAACTGCACTCAAAGCTCCAGCCTTGTGTCTGCTATGCCAAGCACTCGTGCAGACACATCCAGAAGACACGGAGGCACCATCAGATGCAGAAAATGTTGCTCTGCTCCGGAGCGAACCCGTATCCACCAGGAGTTGGGAAAAGCTTTGTACGTGGTCTCATGGATGAGCCACACAACCTCCCACCTTGGATTTTTTCCCCACTCCCTTCTGCCTCTACCGAATTCCATCGAGATGTGGTGGTTGCTTGTTAAAGAAAAGAACCGGGGAGCATGCAGCAAGCTCTGGGTGGCAGCAATGCAGAGAGAAAAACGAAATGTTGTAACAGATGAGTATGTCCCACCTTCCCAGTCTCTGCTGGGCATGGTCTGCATTGCTGGAAAGACATCTCCAAAATCATAATCTACAAAAACGAGGGATAAAACTCAGGATTAGAAATGCAAGTAGTGGGGAGGGAAAAGGGGGCAGGGGAGAGTGTGAAGGGGATTTGGGAGGGAGATGGGCAAGGAGAGAAACAAAACATTCTGCTGCTGTCTGAAATGTTGCATGAGGTAATACTTAGGGAACACGGATGCGAATGGACACCAGCTGCACTGTACCTGCTGGTGTTTGCATTATGGGAGCTACAACAGGACCAGCGAAGGATGGATGCCCCGTTATGCAAGCTGCTGGAAAGCTAAACCAAAAACAAGAGTCCATGACATCCAGGGCTTGTGTAACTAATCAGAGATCCCCTCTGGGAAAGAATTTAATCACTCTGTGCCTCAGTTTCCCCACTTCACACTTACCTCCCATAGACACTGTGATGTTTGACTCAATGTTTGCAAAGCCAGGGGTCTGACTAAAGGGAAAAACTTGTCCTCCGATCCTACAATCCCCAGCTGCACCTACACTCCCAGGGTAGCGAGATGCTCCTGTTGAAATGACGAGCAGTTACTGAGGTTAAACTCCTCCATGCTGGAGGAACAGCAGCAGTGCCTGCCCTCCTGGGCTCTGACACCTCCACCGTCCTGGTCCTGCAACAGGGGACGGCGTTTCCACATCAGCACCAAACCCCAACACATGAGGAAACTGAGACACAGATCACACCTGCTGCCCAGACACACGGAATAGCTTGTGATGATGCCAAACCCAAAATCTAGCTACAAAATCTCCTTGATCTCTTCTCCAAAACCCTCCTCTCTTGAGCATTAAGCTTCCATCCACCAGACAGGCTGCAGAGTGTTGCCAAACCCAAGTGACACCCTTCCCCGGTCAATAGGGACAGGCAGGAAAAGTGCTGGTACCAAGACCTGTTCTGCTGGGTGAGGAATGTGAATACAAACCCAGGGGCAGGCACCGGAATGGCTGGCTGTGCCAAACCTCTGGGGCCAGAGGAGCTTCTTCCTTTGAGTTTTACTGCTCAGCTCCTCGTGCTGTGCCCAACTTACCTGGTTTGGCATAAGCAAGTCCCCAAAAGCAAACCCTTCACGCTTGAATGTCACAGATGAGCCCAAACCAGTGCTGTGCTTCAAAGTCTTTTGCTAAAATGATGCTAATGCCCACCCTGGGCTGTTCCTTCTCAGCATCTTTAATGTCTGCAGTTTCTATCTTGCACATAAAAGGCACCTGGTGGACCTTTGCCTCAGCGGGAACCTGTCTGTATGCAGACTCAGTCCTGAATTCACTGCATCCAATTAACAGCACACATCACCCCAGCTACTCCAAAATCTCTGATCTCGCTTCGTTCAAACTGACACCAAAAAAAGGAACAGGGCCAATGTATTTTGGATCAGGAACGGCAGCACCAGAGCTGCTCCCTCATGTGAATGTGCTTTGTGCAAGATAAGAGGTCCCTGCTCCAGCCTGAAGTGGGCTAAAGGGGCAGACACAAGGTACAGCTCTTCTCAGTTCATCAGGAACAACATCCAGCCCGCTCTGGTGGGGATTAGGGGGTGATTATGACATCTTATAAAGCTGGTCAAGTTAAAATGCATAAGGAGGAAAAAGCAGCACCTCTGAGACCACTGGCTGCCTTTCCCTCAGACTGCAGACACAGAGAAATTACTCTGGAAACCATTTCCCACCACGTCCAGCAGGTGTGGGTCTCAGGAGTACAAAATCAGCAGTGGAAAAAGGTGCCCTGCAGCCCTACATACCTGCTCTGAACTGGAAGCCACATTCAGATACAGGCATGGCTTTCACTCCATGGGGAGATTTCTTCAATTCTTGCCCTTCCAGCCCAAGGCAGAGGGGCTGCCCACAGCTTAAATCCCAGCAACAACCAAGGCAGGACAGGAGAGACTCACAGCCCAACTGCTTGGTCTCTCACTTTGCTCTTTTCCAGCTCATCATTCATGCCCTCATTCAGCGTCTCGTCTGGTGCAGCAGCTCAGCCGAAGGTGGTGTGGGAGCACACCCACCTTCAAAAAACCACTGACCTTCACTGGATGGAGCGATGGCACTGTCGTCCCATTCGAGGTTGGTGGAGGTGACCGAGTTGAAGGAGTTGAGGGACAGGCTGTCCGAGCCATGCACGGAGCTGGGCAGGCGGTCCTCAAAGTCCAGCAGGTACTGAGGTTTGTAGTAATCTGGCATGTATGGGGCCAGATCCAGGTAAGGAGCATCCTGCAGAGAAGAGAGTGGCCTGAGTCAGGCTCTGGGTCACCACACATCGTTATTAACACAGTTGAAATGATGAGGCTGCCCTTGAATGTCCTCTGACTGCCCAGATCTCCAAAGATCTCAGCTTAAAGCCTTTCTTAAAAGTGGCAGCTTCACTATTTCAGCTGAAAGCCAACAAGAAGGTATATCCTGGGATCTCTGACACCCAGGACTCCCCCTGCTGCACATACCCACGCTCCCAGAGCCAAGAGAAACAGATACAACACTCACCAGATCCAAGTCAAAGCGGATGAACTCCAGCCCAGATACCAGCGTCAAGAACAAGGTCAGATGATCGTGACTGCAAACCAGGGCGTTCCTGCAGCGTGGATAAAACAAAAGAGCTTTAGAGATGGGGGAAGAGAAGAAACAGCTATAAGTGCCCTTCTGTTTTCTTGGTGGTGTGTGTCCGAGCTGCTGTATACACAGCCCCAGAGCTTGAGCCCACTGCTTGCCTCTTCCTAAGGGCAACAATGTTTCCTAAGAACCTAAGGGTGGATACGTGTGGCTCAGAGCAGGCGACATCCACTACACGCTGTCCCAAAACTGAGCTACTGCCAGATTTCCAGGTGTCCACCACAGCTGGGTCCCTGCACAGGAGCTCAGCAGCTTCTTGGAAAACACAGAAGAATATAAAGGGTAGATCTTGAAGTAAAAGCAGTAAGCAGGATTCATGCTTACAGGCCTTCCTATGGGCAACCACAGTGCATCCGTATCTGGGACCTTTAAATTAATCACCCAAAAGGAAAGGTCACGAAGACATGAAGGAGCTGGGATACTCACTTGACATAGTACTTGTGCAGCAGGCTTAGGTTCTCCTGGAACAGCCGCAAATAGCTCTCCAAGGAGTTTTCGTTGAGGGCCAGGTACAGCCATGCCCGGCCTGAAAAGAAAGGAGCAGAGAGATTTATCTGTGGGGAAGCGCCTGAAGTGAAGCAAGCCCTGAAATAACCACAAATCAGTTAAAACACATCGGATCGTTCATTCACATTTGTATCATTTCAGGGAGCAACGGACGGCTGCGGAAATTCTGGGAGGGGAAAGTGCCAGTGGGAGATGAAGAGGCAGAGTCATGATTTGGAGTGGGAATAAGAAGAGGCCGTGTGGTGGCTGGTTGGGAAGCAGACACACAGCTGCAGCTCTCCAGCGAGATGGGAGCTCTGCTGTCATTTCCAGGAGAGACAGGAGAGACGGAGGCAGAATCGCTCTAAATCAGCGCAGGAGCAATGTGCGATATTACATGAATTCTGGTGCAGAGAGAGGCGATGGTGGAGTCTGCGCTCAGCTCCGCTCTCACCAGTGCATGGCTTGGGAGATGCTGGGTGTTGGGACAACCAGGCAGAGGGGAGGTCTCTGGGCACCGTCCTGCATCAAAAGCGGCCTCGATGGTCCCAAATATCTGCTATAGACAACTCGCAGCAGAGGAGAAGTAGCACTGGGCAAACAACAGCTACAGCAAGATGGTCCAGGGCAAAAGAGGTGATGCCTCCCATCTGCCAAAAACCCTTCCCGAGAGCACAGCCCAGCAGATCACTCAACCCAACACCCAATCCTGCGACACGGTGCCATTATTTCTAGAGCCAGGACTCGCACGTCCTCCACCGATGTGACTCGGACTCGGTGGGGAGCTGCTTTTTGGCTCCCTCAACCTGCCTGCAGCCCCAGCCCTTGAATGCAGGGCCAGCACAACCTGCCCAGGCCTCCTGCCACGTGTCCCCAAACCCAGCTTTGTCCCCAGAGCCGGGGCAACGTCGCCCAATACTCACTGCGTCCCAAGTTGGTGGCCACGTGTTGAAGCACTTCTATCTGCTTGATGGCTTCCCGGCGGGTGAAGTGAACCACCAGCACCCAGTAGCCTGAGGAAAGATCTTGCAAGCTGGAAGAAGAAAGAAGCCCAGAGGAAGGTTAAGCAAGGCCTTTGTTATCTCCATCCCAAATACTGCCTAGATGGCTTCCCCGTGCCAAGGCTCCATGCTAGGCAAAGCACAGTGAAAACCATGGCAGCAGCAGCCTCCACGCTTACCCATAGAGCAGAGCATGGTCCAGGTGTTCGCAGAGCCGCTGCAGGACCTTGTCGTGGTTTCTGATGGCCGGCGTCTCGTCTTCACAGGCAGCAAAGTAGCTCTGCAGCTGCAAAAAGAAGACACGGGATGGCTGAAACACCCTTCTGCAGCCCACTGAGGAGGCGGGTGGAGATGCCAACACACTCGCAGCCGGCGTTAAATAGCTTTTTTTATCCCTCAGTTTGCTAAACCTTGATCCAGGTTACTTACAGGGTGTAGCAATTGGTTTTAAGAGTACCCTAAAGGCAGTAACTCACAGGGAGAACCTCACCCGCAGAGATTTGTCCACTTTTCAGAGCCATGCCTCATCGTGGCTGCGACTGCACAACCAACTTCCCTGTTTGCTGAGCAGCCAGGCTGGGCTGCACGGCCCCCTTCTGCACAGCCAGCACTGCAGCAGGGTTTTGGTGGTTCCTCTGCAGCGGTGCAGCCATCACAAAGCTGCTCGGAGCAGCAATAAATCAGAGTTCTGGGTTGTTTCTGGCTCTGCCATGGATCAGTGTCCTCTCTCCGAGTCCAGGAGCATCCTCATTCTTGCAGCACATGCGCTCTGTGTGAAATCTCAGCGTGGTTTCAGCATCCCAGGCAGAGACAGAGGTTTTCTTGTTACAGGTGGCTGGAGTAAGCGCTGCAGTGCTGGGTACTGAGGCCAGGCAGCCTCAGGCTTTCAAATGGAGGATGGTCTGGCCGCACAGTGGTGGGGACTAAGAGGGTGCAGAGGGCAGCACAGATGAGGACAGAGGCAGCTCAATTAATCCCAAGCTGTTTCCCTCTGCTGGGGTGAGGCTTCATTGCTAGGACTCATCACATCACGTAGTTTCTGCTCTCTCTAAAACCAGGACAGCTTGACTCACTCCCGCTTAACCCACTCACAGCCGCAGTCAGCTCTGGAGTCAGGGCTGGCCCCGTGCTCTGCTGACAGTGGCCCTTGGAGGCTCGGCACAGGATAAATTGCTTTTCTGCTCCTAGAAATCTCCTTACACCCAAATCCCGTATCCCTTCCCAGCTGACCCACCGGCCTCCGCCTGCCCCCAGAGCTTACGGATCTATTTAGGTCCCCGTCTCGCACATACTTGGCATTCAGACAGGGAGATTACTTGCCCAGGAGGCGAGCTCAGCCGTACACAAGACATTTACTTGCTTAGGTTGGTGACAAGCGAGCACGGTTTCGCTGAGCTGTGACAATGCGTCACCTGTGCTTATATGATTTTGGTGACCAAAGAGGTCTTTGCCAAACCTCACCAGTTAGACAGTAGATTTATAAACAAAAATTAGATGGTGTTGTGCTTGTCGAGTCTGACCTGAAACTGGTTTCTCCTCCTGATTTACTAACAGAGCTGGAGAAGCTCCTTTAGAAATTCCAAATGTTATCAAGGGGGCAGAGAACACTTCATGGACCCTGAGGAAGGAGATAACACAATAACCTTTCATTTGCAGAGCCACCCACGGGTGTTCCAGTGATGCGTAGACCTTTTCACAACACCCAGGTGAGACCCGAAGCATTTCAGCTCAGCAGCTCTTATCCATTTTTGGGAAGGAGCTGTCCCAGGAGATTTACACTATTAATAGGCAGCCTGGACCCAAGCAGGGAGAAGAATGCCCTAAAATCCCAATTTTCAAGCCAGTGTTTTAAGCTCATTCCTGCAGCAAGGACACCAGAGGAAGAAACAAAGTCGTAATTTTAAGCCAGATGCCTCAGGTGATGGAGAGATGAAGCCACAGGGGATGCTCTCCAAAAGCCATCTGGAGCTCACTAAAATATCCCATTTCTGGGGAAACTGAGGCAGGAAGCAAAGCCCCTGCAAACAAGATGAGAGGCAGGATTTGAAGGCAGAAATTCCCGGCTTGTCCCAAGCAGGACATTGCCTCTGCAGAGCCGGGACCCCCGGAGGAGGGCTCCAGTCCTGGGTGCTTCTGCAGGCTGGGTGCTGGCTTGAGGAAATGCAGCTGTGGCAGACAGCTGGGGAAAACAGAAATAACCAGGCCCTGTGTTGGCCTACCACGAACGAGGAGCCAGCTCTGCACACACGGCTCGGGGAGAGCGTCCTGGAGGGAACCTGAGGCCTGTCTGTGCCACCGACTGCAGGACTTCCCCATGACAGAGAGACTCCTGGGCGGCGAAAAAAGATGAGCAAAGAGAAGCGTTTCCTCTTTCTTTCTTTCCTTCCTTCTCCAAAAATAAGTTTGTGACCATCCTTCATGCACCAGTTCACAGCTCCCAACCCTCTCTGTTCCTACATGGACCGAGCTGCTCCCATCATCAGAGGATGCAAACCGTTAGCAGACGGGGTGGTTGTTTCATCTCAACATCTCTGGACATCAAGATGCACCAGGGAGTTTCCAAAAAACGAATTTCTCTGCCCTAGAAAAACCAAATCTTCCTCACGCAGTGCTGCATCAAGGGATGGTGCCATTTCCAGCATCCCTCCAAAATAAACACGGCCAATGGCTCACAGCGCCGAGCAAAGGACGAGCGCAGCTTGCTTATGCACAACAAGCCCCAAAAAAGAGATGGGCCAGGTGAATCCTCACTGAGCTACCATGAGTCCAGGCAGGAAACAAGACAGAACAAGCATCGGGATCTCCTGGGTAGAGTCCTCCCTACAGCGAGGGTGGCAAAAGGCTTGCAAAGGCCGATGGGGAGACGTTTTCAGCTTGGGAAGAAGGGTGAAGACACACAGTGGGGGAAAGGTACGGTGAAACAGCTGTCCCAGCTGGGGAACAAAATCCAGCTGCATCATTTCCCAAAGGCCTGCTGGCCTCCAAGATCCACCTTGCCCAAAATTTGTAGGGATTAAGACCTCAAGCATCTTGGGGCAGACACACAAACCATGGATGGTCCCAGCACCCGACCCTGATCAGGAGTGACAGGGTACTGCCCTACTGCCCTGAAAAGATGGCAATCATAGGCAGTGTTTACTTCTCTGCTGTAAATCACTATAAAACACAAATGAATAGTTGGAAGCCAACCTCTCCCTAATCACGGCATGGCAGATGGACCTGTCTGGGAGGTGGTGACTGAGCTTCACGAAGCATCCACGGAGCAGCTCCCTGACGTAGCTGGGCAGTGAGCTGGGCTGGAGCCGGTAAAAATCAGGAAGGAGGCGAGTGACAAAGTTATAAAACATCAACAGAATGTGACATTGCTCATCTCTGGGGTTTGCTGAGAGATGCTCTTCCCCTCACCTCCTCTGCACTCCAAAACCAGCAGGAAGGGTTGAAGGCTGGCTCAGACGGAGGACTGGTGTGGGGCGCAGTGACTGCCTGGAGCCCTGACCCAGGGCTATTTATGGACATTCCTGTGGCCAAAATAAGCGCTGTCGGCACGCAGGAGGCATCCCCGCCGTGCACCGAGACCCATCCGCAGCCCCAACTGGGTCTGAGCACCGGTGCTGCAACAGTGCAGGACAAAACCCGCTTCAGTGAACTGGTTACAAGAGCTCCTCCAGGGCCCAAATACTCGAGGCTGGCGGATTGAACACCCTTGAGAAGGGAGCAGAGCGGGAGGTCGTGTATCTGGAGGGACCAGAGAGCTGGTTTGCACAGGGCAGAACATGAGGTTTGTGCTCCTGACAATCCCACCTGGTCCCCACTGAGGAGGTGGATTTAACTGCTGCTGATCAACCATGAGTTGATGCTGTTGGGTTTTTTCGCAGCGATGCACCACGCCCCACGCTGGCACGCGTAAGAAAGGGCATTCCTTGCACAATGTTATAGCCTGCTAATTGCGCTGGTTCTCAGTGAGCACAAAGCTCTCCAGGTCTATTTGTTGTGCTGCAAGAGATGCCAAAAAACCAAGCAGGGAGGCACGCTGTAAAGTCCATTCTCCAAATCTAATAATTCTTGCGGTGCTCCTTTGAAATCTCTCCAGTATTTCCACAACCTTATTGAAATCCCGGGTCCAGAGCTGCATGCACCATTCGTGGCTGGCCATAAGTCTTCATCTCCCCTCTGTCAATCTGGCCTGCAGATGTTGCACCAGCAGCTTTCCAACTCCACGTTCATTTCCCTTGCTCTGCTTGGTATTTCCCTGGCAGGACAAACACGGTGAAAGAAAAGCAAACCTCGGGTTCCTTAACCAGTGTGCTTGCTGTGTGGGAAACCCACTCTCAGCTTTGAAACCCTCTGTAGCGAGAACAAACCCATGGGGTTTCCTGTGAGTGCAGCACGCAGAGCAATCTAAAGCTGATTAAAAAAATGCTGATTAAGAAGCCAGCTCTGGGGCTTGGCTCTGAACCCAGAGCTGCACCCGGAGCTGAACACCTTCAGGAGTGTGCCTGGAGCTCCAGAGAGCATCAAAAAAAGGTGGCAGGAGGCTGACCTTGTCCCAGGCAGGCGATGGCAGCTCCATCCCAAGGGAAGAGGTAGTGGGAAGGGACAGGACGGACACATAAGAAGCAACCAGCACCCTCAGAGCTGCTCAGGGGAGTATGGACATTCAGTGATAAATGGACAGAGAGGAGGCTGGAATACTCTGCCTGGAAAACTCCCAGTCTTCCATACCACCTGTAAAAGCAGACTGAATTGCAAGGCAGGGGTGTTATTCTCTCTTGTACACTCATATAACACAAAGCCCAGCTCCAGCAGGACGTTTTGGAGGTTATGTACGTGATCTGACTCAACATTTCTTACAGGAAGCTTCCAAACCAGCACCAGCCCAGCTTCCCATCCCAGACTGAGTACACCTTGCCTGGCTTTCCCAATGAAATACATCGGTGTGCTCAGAGCAGCAGCACGTTGAAGGCACCACAAGCGATGCTGGAGCAGCCTGGAGAGAAACAGAGCATGTTCATGACCTGCAGAGACAGGAGCCTGAAAGAGGGGAAGCTGAAGCCCACAGCAAAGATGCTCCATGCCTGGAAACGCTGAGCTCTGAAGCGTTTGCAATCCAGCACTGACAAGGCTGTCACCTCCTGGGACACGTCCACTCATCAGCTCCCACACCCCCAAGGCTTTTCCAGCGCTCTCCTTCATTATTTCCGAGCAGCAAACCGCTGTCACAGCGAGCAGAGCACACAGAGCAGGGGATGGGCATGGAGCTGGCAGCAGATTTCATGGGAAGGAAAA